ACCGGGTGGGTGTGGGGTGGGTGGTGGGGTGGGTGGAATTACGTGTGTGTTGTGTGTCAATGGTGTGTGTTTGTGTTGTGTGTGTGGTGTGTGTGTGTGTGTGCCTGCTGTGTTGTGGGGCTGGTGGTGTGGCGTGGGTGGGTGCGCGTGTGCTACTGTGTGTGTGTTTATGTGGTGTCGCCTGTGGTTCTGTGTGTGTGTGTGTGTTATGTATGTTGTGTGTGGTGTTGCGTCGCTGTGTGTGTAGTCGTGTGTGTGTGGGTTGGTGTGTGTGTGTAATGTGTGTTGTGGGTGGGTGTTAACCAGGTGTCTATGTGTGCTGTGGTGGGGGGGGGGGGGTGATGGGGGAGGTTTGTTGTGTGTGTGTGTGTGTGTGTGTGTGTATGTGTGTGTGTGTGGGTTCCCTGTAATGGTGTGAGTGTTGTGTGTGTTGTGTGTGTATGGATGTATGTCGTGTGTGTCATGGTTTTTTAATAAGATCCCGTGTATCGAAGCATTTTTGGCTAAAAAAAATAATAAGAATAATAAATAATATAAATATCATAAACTAAAACTGAAAATAAAAAATAAAGATTGACAAAAAAATAAACAAAAAACAACGCGGGTTTAGATAGTCCCTCCTCTCTCTCTCTTAAGATCTCGAATATCCCCATCCCCCTGCGCGGCCCTTGCTGTCTCACATGTGGGACAATGACCATTAAGTGAGAATCACCAGAACACTGATTCATAGAGTCAGCCCCTCCATTCTCCGTGTGATAACAAAGATGACTCAATGAAATGTGAAATTGATATCTGTGACATTTGCTACTTTGAAGTAATTCACGCGAAACACGCTATGCATTATCAATTGTATTCATCAACCCTCCAACTGATTCATTTGTCTCATATATAGGTTCTCTCTCACTCTAATCATCTGTTTGTTCACTGTATCGGTCATTATATAACGTGCATAATGCGATACATTATCTTTGTGCATCTTGATCTCTAGATTATGCTGTTGCATTCTGACTTTGCCAGCCTCTGATCACCTTACTCCTTATCTCATCAGTTACCTTCTTTCTCTCTGTATTTCCTCCGCCACGCGATCTTATATTACTGCTTCACAGCGGCCACGCGCGCATCCGACCTGTAGATATGCCGTCTTTCACCTCTCATACTCATCACTCACTCGTCTCCTTCCTTCTCTCCCCCTCTCTCTCCTCCTTCCCTCCTCTTCCTCTTCCTATCGATGCCCTCTCCTTTCCCATCCTCCCCCATCTCTCCTGCGTATTCTCTCCTCTATCCACCCTCCACTTTCGTATACCAGCCCCGTGTTTCCTCCCTCAACCTATTTATCAATACATTTTTCCCTCCCCCCCCTCTCTTTACTCTTCCCCTAACTCGCTCCCTGTTCACCCTTCCCCTCCCCCCTCCTTCCCTTCCTTCCTCCACTCCTCCTTTTCTCCCCTGACACCTCTCCGGCTCATCCCTCCCGCCGCCCTCTGACCGTGCTCAAGTGGCGCGTGTGGGTGCAGCTTTGTCCTCCCTGCAACCATTTTTTCCGTTAGCGATGGCAGAGAGATGGAATGGAGAGGGTGGTGAGGGGGATGAGAGGAAGGAAGGGAGGGGGGAGGGAAGAAGGGAAGCGGAGGGGGGGAGGGAGGAAGGGAAGGGAGGGGAGGGGGAAGGGAAGGAGGGAGGGAAGGAGAAGGGAAGAGAGGGGGGATGAGGGAGGAAGGGATGGGGACGAGGGGAGGAAGGGAAGGGAAGGAAAAAGCAAAAAAACCCTCAATCCATTGCGAACATCATCATCATCATATTATTTTATTTTATTATTGTATTATTATTATTATTATTATTTATTATCATCATCATCATTATTTCTTATCATTCATCATTATTATTACTATTATTATCATATCATTAAACCATCATTATCATTCATCATCATCATCATTATCATTATCATTATCATTATCATTATCATTATCATCATCATCATCATCATCATCATCATCATCATCATCATCATCATCATCATTATCATCATCATCATCATCATCATCATCATCATCATCATCATCATCATCATTATCATTATCATATCATTATCATCATCATTCATCATCATCATCATCATTCATCATCATCATTATCATTCATCATCATCATCATCATCATCATCATCATCATCATCATCATCATCATCATTATTATCAATATCATTAATAGAGATTAATACCATCATCATCATCATCATCATCATTATGTCAGCGTTTCATGTCACATAATAATAGAGCTATTTTCCTATCAAGACATTCGAGATCTGTAGATTCCGTCAAAATGCTCCAATTTTATTAAATTTTACTTTATTTATTATTTAATTAATTTTATTAATTATCTTATGGTGTGATATTATTCCTTCTCGTTTATATATGTACATTTTTTTTATCTATATCCCATGATAAACTCTCAAATTTCCATTAGTTTTTTTTTTCTACAAACTAAATATCATGATTGAAATGACTGACTTACCTCGGTTTTATTACTTTTTACGAACGTGTATTATCTCCTTCTTATCGCTGAGGAACTGAGAACCTTGCATGAAATCTGTTCCTTGGGTGTGGGTGATCGAGAGAAGAAATATCAAGCCTTGAAAGCTCTTCCTATGTATTCATCTCTCTCTCTGTCTCTCTTTCTATCTATCTATCTATTTATCTATATCTATCTCTTTTCTCTCTCTCTTCTCTCTCTCTCTCTCTCTCTCTCTCTCTCTCTCTCTCTCTCTCTCTCTCTCTCTCTCTCTCTCTCTCTCTCTCTATATTATATATCGCTATATATATATCTTTCTCTCTCTCTCTCTCTCTCTTCTCTCTCTCTCTCGTCTCTCTTCTCTCTCTCCCTTTCCTCCTCTTCTCTCTCCCTTTCCTCTCTCTCTCTCTTCTCTCTCTCTATCTCCCTTTCCTCTCTCTCTATCTCCCTTTCCTCTCTCTCTATCTCCCTTTCCTCTCTCTCTATCTCCCTTTCCTCTCTCTCTATCTCTCTCTCTATCTCTCCTCTCTATCTCCCTTTTCTCTCTCTCTCATCTCTCTCTCTCTTCCTCTCTCTTTCTCTCCTCTCTCTATCTCCTCTCGCTTCCTCTTCTCTATCTCTTTCACTATCTCCCTTTCCTCTCTATCTCCCTTTCCTCTCTATCTCTCTTTCTTCTCTCTCTATCTCCCTTTCATCTCCCTCTGTATGTTATGTCTAGTCGAGGAAAAAATAGCATTAGGGTCAATTCTTGAATTCTTTGCATGAAACTGCAGGCAACATGCTAAAATAGAAAGAAGTAATAAAAAAAACTGGACATTGGGAATATGTTCGTTGGTATGAACAATCAAAGGAATAGGAGTTTCATGTTCTTATCATCATCACCATCAATGAACGGGGATGTTGAGATTCAGTTTTGGGCAAATTGCGTGCGAAATCTTTTTGCTCGCCTTGGGGGAGTATTTAAAGGAAAAGGTTTTAGGAAATATTAAAAAAAGGTTTAACGCTTCTCATCCTTCTTTTGTCGTCTGAGGTACTAGTACTGCCTGAGGTTTTAGAGATTTTGTTTCCAGTATCAGTGGATCCAGTGAGGAATTTGGCGCTTTTATTGTATCATCAGCATGTGTTTCTGAAGAAGGTACAAGTGAAATGTGTCAGATGCCAACCCTGCGCTATTATTTATTCTATTTCAACATCTGCCACAGTAGATTCTGGGTCATCACGATTTGCAGGGATTTTTTTGCGTCAAATTTGGTGTAGTGTTGGCCTGTTTGGGCGTCGGAAAACCTTTTGATAAATAAAGTGGAACGTAAGTGTTCTGTAATGCAAGGAGCAATCAGCCATTGATGCCACTCTGCTCTCTACTACACTTGATTTTTCTATAATCAATCTTGTTTGTGAATATACACTTATTTTTAGGGGAGGGAGGGTGGATAAATTTCCATATCTTGGAGTATATCAACGCATACCTTGCTTTTATCCTTGAAAAAAATACATCCACTTTCTCTACATAAGAATACAAGAAATACACACGGTAGAAATAAGGTTAATGTACCTGTAGGGGGGGGGGGAAGAAAGTCACTTTAATAAGGTTATAAGATGATGGTACAGTTCATGCAGGAAAAGGGTGACATTTACCTCAATTATGTAAGAAGTAAATTAAAACCTGTGGCTCAGGGGAGTTAAATGCCCTGAGGGATATTATTCATAAAGAAAGGTCTTCAGTACACTCAGGTTTAACTCAAGAGAGAGAGAGAGAGAGAGGGAAGAAAAGGTGAAGAAATAAGGAAGAAAAGGTGGATGCAACAAGAATGAGGAAAAAAGAGAAAGAAAAACATGAAAAGAGAGAGAGAGAGAGAGAGATGGAAGAAAAGGTGAAGAAATAATAACAATAACCTGTATCTATCAACCCCCCTCCCAACACATCATAGTTCTCAACTAAAATATTTTTCTAGAAAAGCCACTGCGTGTACCTATGGGAGAGAGGAATAATATTAATGATAGTTGTAATACTGCTAATAATAATAATGATAATAATAACAAAAATAATAATAGTAATAGCAGTATAAGTACAAATAATGAAAATAATAGTAATGATGGGGATGCTGATGCTGATGATAGTAATAACAATAACAATAATAATAATGATAAAAACGATGATGATGATGATGATAATAATGATAATAATAATAATATCAATAGTAAAAAAAAAATAATAACAATAATAACAAACAAATAATAATAGAAAGAAAAAATATGATAATGATGATAGTAATACTTTCAATAATAATAATAATAATGATAATGATAATAATAATAACAGCAAATGTGATGTGAAGACAGCTGTCCCGCCTCCCGCCCGAGCCCTTCGCGCGCGCCCGTCTTCTTCGCCTCGCCAGGGCTCCGGGGCCGCTGGCTGCGTCCGGCGGCACCTGGCTCCGCCCCCGTCACCCGAGCCTCGGCGGGCAGCGGCACCGTCATGCAGGCGGCCCCAGCGACGAGTGTCCACTTCCGCCTCGCCAGGAACACTTCCCCGCTGGCTCCGTCACGGCACGCAGTGACACGAGGGGCTATTGGCCTCGCCCGGGTTATCCCTCGTCGCTTTTCAGATTATTTGTTGGTTTGCTTTCTTTGGCAAGGAGGGAGAGGTCGCGTCGGCTGAGACCGGGATGGAGGCTGGGACTTACTTTTTAGTCATGGTGACCGTGCTCGCGTCGCTGGCTCTTGCAGGTAATGGCTCTCGCAAATCCATTGTTTTTTCTGGTTCTGTTGATTATACTTTTATGCTATTTATCTCGCCCCTTTTCCTCTATGAAGTGTAGATCTCTCTCTAATCATTTTTCTCAATGTATTGTACTATAAAGTTGGTAAAAGGTATAATTTTAACAACTCATTTCGAAAGTACGTAGTTTAACGAAGGCATGGGAATTGGCAGCATGTGCTCTGGAAAATCTTAAAAGACACATACCTACAGACTACAGTATATGGAACTTGATACTATAATAATTTGCATACACTCCATAATGGCTTCACTCTCCATGGAACTGTTATTAAGGCCATGTTCTGAATTTGCACAACTCTGTATCTCACTTGAAATACGCGAAACATTGCACGTCCTAGTGATTTCATGAACGTCAGTGATAAACAATGCAAGTTACACAAACCCACACACATATACCTTCCTTGTATACAACTAGGCTCTATAATTCGGTTTCCTACATGAGTGTGCGAGCGAAGCCTTGAAAGCAACGTCTAACCCTTGGAAAGGACCGCGAAGCAGCAGAAACGAAGCAAGATTAATACGTTTTTAATTCGAACTTATTGGGACAGTGTTTCCTTTTCTGAATTTTGTGTCCAGTCCATTGCTAAAGGAGCGAGTCTCCAGCCCAAAGAAAATGGATGGCACATTATTTCTTGGACCGGGGTTGTCTGAACTTGACTTAGCACTAGCCATGTTGGTTATTATCAAGCATTGACATTGCTAGTGTACATCTAGATCGAAGGAAATGTGCGTTTTATAATCAGCTCAAAAGAGTAACCATATCGCCAACATGGCAGCATGAAAGACCTGAAAGAGTGGAAAGCACAGACCGATTCCGAGATATCTTACGAAGCTTTTTCAGTATGCTGCTTTCGGCATACCAGGTCACTGTGTATGGATCTACGGAATATAGATAGATAGATAGATAGAGATAGATAGATAGATGTGTGTTTGTGTATATATTTATATATTGCACATATATGTATGGGTGTAAACACACATGAACATACATGCATGCATAGATCGGCATACATAAATCGATTGATAAATAGGTATATGAACAGATAGAGACACAGAAAGATTTATAGATACATATACACATTCTTATGAAATATACACACGATTTATTTAAAATAACACTCCGCCTTCGTTTATTGAAAATATTGTTTTTTCTTTCTTTTTATCATTTTCCATTGTTATTACTGAAACATTTTCAAATAAAATGCACTGATATAAAAGTTACCATATCAAATTAACCGTCAAAAAAGGGGTGGATCTAATGGCATCATTTTTTTAGCCAATTATAGTGTACTGTGAGATATCAAATATAGCTAGATATATAATTGTTTATATGATTTACCCTGATATTGATATGATTAACAAAAGTAAAACCAAAATTATCTTCTTTTATTTATGACAACGAAGAATTCCTTATCATACATAGATGTCAGAATACTCTTGGGAAAAAAATCAATGTGTGTGTGTGCATACCACATACAGAAGGGCACAATCTCCCTAAAAAATTACATTGTTCTGTAAATAAATAAATAAATGAAAAATTACAGTGTTGTGTGTGTGTGTGTGTGGTGTGTGTGTGCCATAATACATAAGGGCGGTGTCTATACATCCACTCACGAATACGTTTTCTTCCACACAAATACCCCCAGGAAAGTTATGTATATATTCATGATCTTTCGAATTAGAAGCTCCACCTTGCCTTGATCCTTTTCCATATAACCATTCCGCTTCCCTCCACCTTCGGACGCGGAACAGACGTGCCTAATTACAACATGAACGAAAAGCTACGTAAGAAATTGCTCAAGGACTATGACAAGATGGCCCTCCCCCACCGAGACCAGAATGGAACCACGGCAGTTGAGTTCGGACTCGTCATCAACGGCATAATGGTCGATGAAACCAAGCAAGTCCTCACTCTCAATGCCTGGACGAGGATGGTGAGTTATACCAAGTCCTCAGTCGTCCCCATTATATAGCGTAGGATTAAATTGTTATTGCCTGGTGACGTGTACTGTGTTTGTATAGATGTATAAGTGTTAAATTTTATTACGTAAGTCTCATGAATCTAACTGAATTTAATGCTAATGTTAATTTTCAATAAGTATTCAAAAATACAGAGTATTATCACGGTGGATTATATGCGTTTGTGTGTAAATTTAACTTAAATGCTATCACTTTGGGAAACATTTTGAAGCTCGCGTATGAAAGCAAATAGGAAATAGCTATTTTCTCTGTCTGTTCCCAGCGATGGCAAGACCCGAGACTAGAGTGGGATTACAAGGACTACGGAGGCCTCAAGATACTCCACATGGGGGACCACGAGCTCTGGCAGCCTGACCTCACCCTGTACAACAAGTGAGTGATCTCCGCTTTCTGTCTGTTGGCTTTCCTGGCAATGCTGTGGTCTTTGGTGTTTTTTTCGCTTGTGTGTGTGTGTGTGTGTGTGTGTGTGTGTGTGTGTGTGTGTGTGTGTGTGTGTGTGTGTGTGTGTGTGTGTGATGCAGTGAAGGCAGGGAGCGTTTTTATTGACATAAGTATTTCATCTCACTGCTGGAGTTAACATACGTGTTTTATAGAAAGAATGTTACTGAATGAAAGGCTACAAGAAAACTATATATAAGACGGGCAACTAATATATTAAATTGAAGTGTCAAATTACTGTGTATAGATATATAGAGAGAGATTGATCATTTAAAATTATCTGCCGCGTCAATAGCCTAGGTCGTTGTCAGCAGAGAGAGAGAGAGGAGAGAGAGAGAGCGATAAAGACGGAAAACGTCATATACGTTTCCAAAGAATTGTTCCCATCTCATCCCCCCTCCCTGTTACACACTGCGATAGCCAACCGATGCTAAAAGAATCGAAAAACTCACGTGACCAACCTAACTTAAGCTCTTCGACTGTCCCGCCCTATGGTCTATATAAGTATATTATATAGACCTCGTCTATATGATATACAGGGTCTATCTAAGTATACTGTATGGAACTTTTCCTTTTCCTCCCAGCGCCGACCACTCGGAAACCGACCACTACGGGAACGTGCACCTCGTCGTCTATCCGGAAGGGACTGTACTGTGGGTTCCTCCGTCCATTTTCCAAGCCGAGTGCCCCTTGGACTTGACCTACTGGCCTTACGACACGCAGAAATGTGTGCTGCTCTTCGGCTCCTGGACGAAGAACGGCTGGGAAATCGACGTTCAGCTGTTCAGTAACGATACCAATGTAAGTACAGATTTTATGGAGAGGATCTTTTCTCTTTCTCTAGAAGTTACGTTGTTGTTCAATATGTTTGCCGTTTTAAGCAATTAAATGTACTTGACACCAAAGGTCATAAAGTACTATGGTAAAGCATTGTGTTGAAAGAGGTAAAGTTACTTGAGTTTCAACGGTTTTATGGTAAGGTAGTGTGTTAGCGTAAGGGGTATGAAGATAGCAGAGTAGGAACGCTATTTGATAGGAGGAGGAGAGTCAGGGATAGAGGGCGAGTAGATCAAAGGAAGGATATTTATGCGTCTAAGGAAGGAGAATAAGTTGTCTAAGGAAAAGATAGGGGGTTCTGACAAGAAGTTTGATTTTTAAGACGATATACACAGTGTTTTGATTCGTCACGAAGGTTTGTGAAAATTTATCACAATATAAGGCCTTTATGGTGTTAGTTCCATTCGTAAAACAAGGAATTGTGCATCCAGGGAAAATGTGGATAAAAGCAAGCTAGGATAGAAAAAAGACGCGTCTCTGCCTGAAAAAAGAAAGAAAAAAAAAACCTTCGTGTGGTGGACCTGGACTGAATCTTCATCAGCATTACAGTACCATTTTGCGTTGTGACGTCATTCCTCTTCATTTATACCTTTTTGTCTCTTTGCTTCGAAGGATTTCGGTCATGAAAAGAAAACATGTCCTTCCCTGGGTATATTTAAGACTGCTCATTATACAGTGAAGACACTTTTAAAGAAACCTGCAAGAATACACCTTCAGACAAAAATACGTCCGTTGCAAAACCACACGAAAAGAAAGAAAAAAAAAATCGTTACTTCACCCCCAACATGGCCGACTTCAGCTTCTTTTCTCTCCGCTCCTTGTTTCAGATCTACCGCGGATGGTTCCTCAAGTATTCCCACGTATGGCAGTTTGTGGACGGCAAGATGCAGCGAATTGTGAACACCTACCAGTGTTGCCCCGAACCCTACATCACGGTTTTGGTCGAGCTGAATATTCGCAGAGTTTCGCCTTCCTTCGCGTCCACCATTATTGTTCCTGCTCTGGGTAAGGAAAGGTGCTTGTCTATACGGTTTATATATATATATATATATATATATATATATATATATATATATATATATATATATATTATATATATATATATATATATATATATATATATATATATATATATATATATATAATATTTATGTGTGGTGTGTGTGTGTGTGTGTATGTAAGCATTTATGTATGCATATATATAGACATACTACGGATTGATAACCTACATTCCAGCAGCGAGAGACAGCTACCGAAGCTTCCAAGAACAGACAGACCCCCTGCAGCCCTTACCCCCTCTCTCCCTTCACCCCCCCCCCCGGCCCGACCCCCGCCCTAACAGCAGCCCCGATTCCTCCCTCAGTGATCTCGCTCATGACGCTGGTGCAGTTCCTCCTGCCGCTGCGGGAGGGCAAGAGGGTCACCGTCGGCTGCGCCAGCACTCTGCTCACTCTGCTCGCCCTCTTCTACGTGGCCACGAGCGTCCCTAGTCTGTCCTACTCCGTGCCCATCATCGGTTAGATAGCATTCGTGATGTAGAAAGCTGTTTGTGTTAATATTATTTTGATGTATATATCGGTTATTCGAGTATTGACGCTGGACATGTCTGTAGGATAAAATTACTATAAAAATACAGATATTAGAATAAAATTATTATAAAAAATACAGATATTAGAGTAAAATTACTATAAAAATACAGATATTGGAATAAAATTACTATAAAAAATACAGATAGAATAAAATTACTATAAAAATTAAAGATATATTACGGTTTCGATGTTTATATCAACAATCCCTTCCAACCAATTCGACTCCTTGACAATCTTTTCCTCCGCTACCCAATTCTAATCTTTAATGCCCAGCTTTTCTTTCTTTACACCCCTTTTTTCGAGCTTGATCTCCTGTTTCAACTATCTCTCTTTCTCTATTTATTATTTATTCTCTCTCTCTCTCTCTCTCTCTCTCTCTCTCTCTCTCTCTCTCTCTCTCTCTCTCTCTCTCTCTCTCTCTCTCTCTCTCTCTCTCTCTCTCTCTCTCTCCTTCCTAAAAGAGGTCCCTTTCCAATTCTTCTTCTCCTTCCTCCTTTTCTCACCGTTCCGTTTCCTCGTTTTACTCACTCTTCTGTTTCCTCCTTTTCCTCTCTATTCCGTTTCCTCTCTTTCCTCACTTCCGTTTCCTCTTTTTCCTCTCTATTCCGTCTCCTTTTCCTCCCTCTTCCGCCCTCCGAACGGTTCCACTTCTTCACGGCCAATCCCTGTTCTTTTTGCAGTGAAGTTCTACGGACAGACGCTCGTGATGGTGTTCTTGAGCGTGGGCGTGTCGGCTGCCGTCCTCCGCCTCACCGACGCCCACCATCCCGCTGCCTCGACGCCGCCGCCCGTGCTCCTCAAGACAGTCCTCACCGGGCCTGTGGGATCCATCTTGCTCCTGCAGAAGTACATGGCGAAGGTACCGGTTCTTTTGTAATCCCAGGACTTGCTTGTTGGTTGTCTTGGCGGCAATGTTGTTTTTTTTCTTTCTGTTCACGGTCGTCTGTTTTTTGTTCTTCACCCATCTCTCGTTTTCTTATTATTATTATTATTCTATATTTCCTATATTAATGTCTTCTTCAAGATGGACTCCAAGGCCTTGTGGAGCTTCGGTCCCGCCATCTGTCTCTTAAGTTCGTCAAGTTTCAAATTGTGGTTTATGGTTCCTTTAGCTCGTTAACGTTCGTGGATTCTTTAACGTTGGTATCGTGTGGAGTTTTTAACGTTGGTCTCGTGGTCTCCTCCGCCTGTCTCGCCGTCCCCTAAGATGTGGTCCTTGCAGGTGGGGCACAGCGGGGGCGGGGCCGACGACGCCGAGGTGCTCGACGAGGTCCGCCCCGTCAGCTACGCTCACGAGTGGCTCCTGGTCGCCGCCGCCGTCGACCGCCTCGCTGCCTTCGCCTTCACCGCCGCCTTCGTCGTCACCCTCATCGCCTACACGTCCGCCCTCTGAGCTGCCCTCGGCTCCCCTTCTCCCCTTCGGCTCTCCAGCGACCCTGCCTCCCCGGCGGCTCTCGCGGGGGGGACGCCGCTGCAGGGCATGGCGCCGCGGGTTGGTTGGTTTGGTCGACGCACACGAGGTTTAAATGAGACTTGAACACGCACACACACACGCACACACAAACACACGCACGTACAAACACACGCACGTACAAACACACGCACACACAAACACACATATTTATGCACGCAAGAGTGATGTTACCTTTCTCGTCCTTGAGTCGAGATTCGCATTAGTGGAATAACGAAACAAATTAAGTACATGGCTTGTTATTTCCTTATCCTTATTTTCACTTACTGTAAGTTAAGAGAAAAAACGTTTGATGTAAAGTTGCATGCATACATAAACATATATACATACACACACATATATGTATGTATACAGTATATATGTACATATATATGTGTGTATATATGTGTGTGAGAGAGAGAGTACACACACACACAGATATATATATATATATATATATATATATATATATATATATATATATATATATATATATATATATATATATAATATATATATATTATATATATATATATATATATATATATAAATATATATATATATATATATATATATATATATATATATATATATATATATATACATATATATATATGTACACACAATATGTGTGTGTGTATATTTACAAAACACACGCACACACATGTATATAAATATATATATATATATATATATGTATATATAATTATAAACATAGAAACACACCCATATATGAATTATATACAGACAGTTCTTTGAGCGGCTGCCTGTAGGCCTCTGTTAAGTAGGCCAACATTTCTCCCAAAACCTTACTATGAAATATCTTTCATTCTTCAACATCTGGTTATTTATAAATAAAAACAAGTCCATTGCCAAAAAATTTATTCTTCAGTATGCAAAAGGTCTTGCCAATCATTTTCTAAAATCTAATACAAAGTACACAAAAACTGATTGCCATGGGGAAAAAATAATAACCAACCTCACCTATTAAAAAATGGGAAAACAGTATATCAAGCACATATTTTGTACTCTTTTGATCATAATAAAAATTTGCACATTTTTACAGACCTCTTTTACAATGGTTTCTCAACTATCACATTTCCACAATAATATTTAACAATTGAAAAGTAAAACATC